CCAAGTTAACAGCAGCATGTACCTCATCAAGCTCAGAGCTACCAACTTTTCACACTCCTATCATTCGGCATCTACATTTCTTGCTGTAATTCTGCGAGGTGGAACAGCCTACAGAATAAGTCAGGAAATTGCTGATGATGATTCATGCTGTATTCACAAGCAAGTTGCTTACCACTTTCCAAAGTGGCTGACAAAGACCTCCATGGCCTTAATAAAGAACCAACTAACAGCAAACTAAGTGTAGCTGAAATAATTCTGAAAGGAAGTAAGGGGTGGTATTAGGCATGCCAGTGAATTATCTCTTGCTTTTGTGAGTTTATTTATAAAGTGTTACTTGCAAACACTGCCTAGGACTTAGTAAGAACTTACCTGGGCCTAGCAACAGTAACAAAAACCTTATTTTTGGCTTTTTAAAAGCATTTTCTTCATTTTAAATAAAACTACTCCATAAAAAAATGAATTTATGGTGAGCTCTGGTGGCCTAGTGGCAAGAAGCTGCAACTACAGTCTCAGAGGTGCACGGTTCAAATCCACCAGGTGCTCTGCTGGAGAAGGAGGAGCAATCTCCTCCTGTACCAGTCAGATCTGATTTGACGGTACACACAAAAAATAATGAAATAAAGTAAATTTTTTACAAAAATGAATTTACTTGGACAAATCACTCTAGCCCTCTGAACCTCGATTCTCGTCTATAACAAAAGGCTAATAGTCTACTTTCCCTCTTCACAGGGCCATAAAGACTAAGGGGAAATGTCTATAAAAATCCTACCACAATAGTCGGCATGAAGTTGCTATTAATTTAAAAAAACCTATTACGAATTAATCTAAACCATTCTGTCATGAGCATCAATGAACTTCCAAAGTCATAAACCAAGTACTCCAGTCAACAAGTCCTGAAAGTCTTAATTCAACTATAGTCTAATTGGCTTTTGTTGAAGACTCCAAGTCGCTTCAATTTTCAAAGCAATTAAAACCTGCAGCTCCACTCAGAGCTCAGAGGCAATCTTCCCAGTAGATTACCAACAGTAACCTGGCTTCCGAATGACAGGAAGTGTCAAGACAGGGCTTCCTACCACCAACCTCAAAATAACTGCTTCGTAATACCTGACCTTCCCTTACCCTCCTCGGTACTAACAGCCCCCAGGAAAAGGGATGGGGCAACAGCCTGGTTCCTGGCTGGGTTCCACTGTTTAACCATAAACTGCCTAGCCTCTCCTGACTTTTTTTTTTCTTTGCTTTTTCTAAATGACTTTCCCTGCCCCCAACTGACCGGTCTCCTGAGCTACATACATGGTCTAGTCATAGTTGAAAATTCCTAGAATTGCATCCTAATTCTACTGGAATGAAGCTATAAAAAAAGTACTCAAGAACAGGAATGTTATGTGAATGCCTGAAGCAATCAGCTGAGGCCAACAAGCTGTGCATGCCATTCTGCTATGGCTGGAAAGAGCAAGAAAACCCTAGAGCCAAGTTTACCTATTTCCTGAATACAAATGAAAGATAAACTTAAGTCAGAAATAGGAACAAAGACCCAAGTGTATTAATCATGAAGCTAGGAAGCAACTGACAGCTTACACTAGACCCAGCTTAGAGAACAAAGTCCAAAGATACTTTTTTTCTTTCTTTGCTCACATCAAGTAGAAAAGGGATAAAATAAAAGGGAGTTATTCACATCAATTTGTAAAACTCTAACCTCTTGCTCTTTGTTAAGACATTTTTCTGTTTCACCTTCCCATTCTCCCTTCACCATTCAGCTCAGAAACTCAATGTTCTCAGCAGAATCAAGCACCATCAAACACTGGGCCAACAACTGCTAACTTTCGAAATACTGAAGAAACCTGTTCAGAGATTCATGCAGAGCCTGAGCCTTAGGCATCCATCCAGCAGAAGCCCCCATACTGAGTTCCTGAACAAACTATGTTGTAGCAGTTCTGTCCTCAGTTCCGTTTTAAAAAACACATACTGAGTCCAACCACAAATACTAACCAATCTCCAGAGCTTCCTATTTAGTTTACAATCTTGATTTACCTTGCCTTTTAATTTCTACTTAAATGCAAAGAGTGGTTTATGGCTGCTGAAGAACTGCGTATTTACCTCTAAGCCTACCTGTCCTTTTTTGCAATACAGATGTACACACAGCCAGAAAAACAGGCTGGCAAGGCAAACAGAGACAACACAGCAAATAAGATCACACTTTCTGGCACATACGGTAAAAACTAGTTACCCAAAGATACACCATAAAAACTCCCAAACTTCCTGTTCAAATAGCATCCCAAAAGATACTTATAACCCTAGGTCCTTTACATGAGCTTTCATTTTCTTCCTCAGAAGTCTTTAAGAAAGAGAACAGGTGATTTTTAAAGTCCAGTTGTTTTTTGTTTGTTTTTATTTTATTTTTGTGTGCATGTACCGTCAAATCAGATCTGACTGGTACAGGAGGAGATTGTCCCTCCTTCCCCGGCAGAACATCTGGTGGATTTGAACCGTGAACCTCTGGGATTGTAGTTGCAGCTTCTTGCCACTAGGCCACCAGAGCTCCCCCTAAAGTCCATTTTATAGTAGTTAATTGTTCCAGAAAAAAATACTAAAAGTCAGGGACATACGAGCAAAATCTCTAAAGTATATTACTTTTTATGTTTGTTGCATTTCATTTGGGCTTTCACTAAATGTTTCCCTAATAAACTTAAGGTATTTATGGCGGCAGTCATGACGTACTAGCAGCTTAAAGAAGATTTCCAGAAAACTTAGTTAAGAATTTTTTGGCTGAAGATCAAAATTCTTAACTCTACATCTGGGAATAGGGCATAAAAATAATGTTATTTTGGGGGGAGCTCTGGTGGCCTAGGGGGAGCTCTGGTGGCCTAGTGGCAAGGAGCTGCAACTAAAATCCCAGAAGCTCACGATTCGAATCCACCAGATGCTCTGCCGGGAAAGGAGGGACAATCTCCTCCTGTACCAGTCAGATCTAATTTGACGGTACACACACACACACAAGCTATTTTTTTTATTTTTTTAATAATTTTAATGAACATTTACAGAGAATTTGGATTTCCATTCATTCACTGCTGCACTTCTAATGTTATTTTTTTAAGAAAAGAATGTTATTTATCAACTACACTGGCCACTAGCCACGCCACTCTTCACCAGTTCCAACACTGGTCAAGACTGGCTGCCATCCAGAGGGAGCCGTGATAAAGCTATCCATGTGCAAACCCCCCAAAAATCCAACTACATACTACTTTCTGATGTGGTCTGAGAGGCCACATTAATTGCTATTTGGATACTCAACACCTTTTACTGCCGATACAACTGGTTTTCATCTGAGTTCCACAGCAATCTGTGTCTTTGGCACCTTAGGTAATGTGTCATGACCAGTGAGTCAACTCTGAACTCGGCAGTGCCACAATTTTTAGCATTAGACTTTTTTAGACAATTAGGCCTCTTAATGTGGTGCTCTTCTTTGCATTTTTTTAAAAAAATCCTATTACTGTTAATTACAATAGGAAAAATGGCAGAAATTAATGTATGTGCTTTGAAGATCAGGAATATTTCTGACTCTAGACTCTGCCAACTGGTTACCTCATGGCCTCTCATATTATTCATCTTTAAATAGAATAATTTCATCTTGCTGGACAGGCTGGTACCTAGAGTTGTGATGATAAAGGTAAATAAAAGGGGAAAAAGCTTAGCTAAGTACCTGGCACCTGCTAAGCCCTCAATAAATAGCTATTCTGATCATGAGAAGCCCCAATAATGCAGTGCATTACGTGCTGGGCTGATAACTGAGAAGTCAGGGGTTCTAATGCAACAGCTGTTGCTTGAGAGAAAGAAGACTGATCTCCTCCTGTAATGACTTACAGCCCTGGAAAACCCAAACGAGCAGCTGCACTTTCTAAATTATTACTATCATTACGTTCACGACTTAAAATTCAAAGATGTGACTACAAGAGTTACCAAAAAAAAAGACAAAAATCTTCCTTGTGAAAGGATAAAAGGCATAGTAACACAAATGTGATGACAAGGTGTTCTCCTGTTGAAAGACTTTGCTGTCTATGTGATTCTGACTACCCAGGTCCCAATACAAGGAAACAGCACACACCACCCTATCCTGCCAACATTCTCACAAATCTCTGCTGAGCTAAACCCAACTACTGCACCACTGCTGTCAATCTGTCTGGTTGGAGGGTTTCCCTTTTGTCCTCAACCCTTCACCAAACATGTGCAAAGCCCTTGGTGTCTTTACTTGCCCAGGGAACTCCTGTATGTCTGTCTACTCTCTCCACCTCCACAGGTAAGGAACTCCAAGGACCCCCTCCCCATGCAATTCATGCCTAACACACTAGTGGGTGTGGGCTCTTCATCACTAGACTGGGCACAGCCATCTAGGGATGGACGCTTGACCAGAGCAGGACTGGGTCCGGGTTGTTAAAATGTCAGCTTTGAGGGGAGCTCTGGTGGCCTAGTGGCAGGAAACTGCACTGCAATCCCAGACGTGTGCGGTTCAAATCCACCAGATGCTCTGCTGAAGAAGGAGGAACAATCGCCTCCTGTACCAGTCAGATCCAATTTGATGGTACACACATTCATTAATTAATTAAGTAAGTAAATAGGTAAATAAATGTCAGCTTTGCATTTGGGAAGCCCAGAACCCCGCCCTCCCCTGTTAAGACTTGAACAGGATCCAACGCTAACTCCACACGAAAAGGGGAGGACGCACAATGGTGACTGGGAGCGCGGATTGATGAGTCAGACAAACCTGCTCTCCGGCTCGGAGACTCCTACTACTGGGCGGCCTGACCCTATCTGACCTCAGTTTCTTCATCTGCAAAATGGGGCTAAGGACAGCACCTGCTTCACCTGAGCATGAACGCCAGGATTCACGGGGAAGCGCGCAGCCCGGCCCTAAGTTAAATGCCCACTGCAAATTCCGGGGTACCACGGCGGGGGCGAGAGGTCAGCGCTGCAGGGGGTCCCTGGGATGGGGAAAGGGGGCCCCTTACCGCTCTTGGGTTTAGACTCGCCCGCCGACCCCGCCGAGGCGGAGCGGGGCGGCTGCTGCCCTTTGCTGCTGCCCGAAGAGGCGGAGGAGCCGCTGGAGCCGCTGTTCTTGTCCATGTCGGAGGCGGTGGCGGCGGCGCTGGGGGAGCTCTGCGGCATCAACGGGGGCCTCGGCGGCGGCGGTCGGAGCGGAGCGGGCGCGGCGGGGACCCAGGCTCATGGCGTTCAGGGCCGGCGGGGGTCGGCGACGGCAGCGGTTCTCGGCCTTCATGGCGACATTTTTTCCTTGTTTCCTTGCTTCTCAAACGGGGAAAGAGAAGCGGCGGGCGGGGCTGCGGAGCCCGGCGACGGCGGTGACGGAGGAGGAGGAGAAGGCCGGGGCTCGGAGGTCCGGGCCGGGCCTGGCGGGGCGGAGGCTTGCGGGGAAAGGGGAGGCGAGGGAGGGTGCGCGGGCCCCGCCGGCCGGCCGGACACGCTCTCCCACCGCGGGGCAGGGGAGAGGGCTGGTTGTCTTGGGTGTCGGGGACCGGAGTCTCCGACACAGCGACCGACACTCGCCCCTGGGCCGAGGCAGAACAGCTCCGGGAATGGCGACGAGTCGCCAAACAGCATCTCAGAGAACCCGGATGGGCTATATATATAGTGAAGGGAGTCGGCGCGAGGGCCTCCGGGAAATGTAGTTTTCGCCTGGTGACTGTGACTCTCCGCCCCCTTTCAGAGGGCGCGTGGGATGATGGGATTTGTTCCCTCTAAAAACAGCTTTGCCTTTTTCAGTGTCAGCTGGCTGACTTTCAGGTATGATAATGAATACAACTAATAATGGAGTACATCTCGACATCGAGAAAACATAAATTCCCACCACGAGCCCAATAAATAAACTGTAAGGGTGCTGCCTCTCACATATTCTGAACATGTTTTCTGGAGGGCATGTTGTAGAGAGGAATGGGGGAGGTTGTCTGAAGACTAATGATGACCTTTGACACTGAGCAAGTTTAAATAGGGAGGGAGTTAGTTACAAAAGTTAAAATACAATAGCTATTTATATTTTGCATTGTAGAATAAATTACATGGTATCTGCAGTTTCTTTTTACAAAAATTAAGACTCAAACTCGGAGTACAAATATTATTTTCTGTATCTCATCTTTTTCGTTTTCATATTTCTGAAATTCCATAATTTTTATTTGTATTTTCCCCTTTAAAGAGAAGCACTAAGAGAATCATCTGAGTATAAAGAAAGAAGTAGAAAAACAATAAAGAAGGTAAATTTATTTTTAAAGAGCAAAAGTTGAACAGAATACAGATTTTAAAAATTTGAAACTTCCAAAATAACTATGAGATATCATCTCACCCCAATAAGAAGAGCAAAATTCAACAGAGCAGCAAACAACAAATGCTGGGGAGGTTGTGGAGAAACTGGAACCCTTATTCACTGTTGGTGGGAGTGTAAAATGGTGCAACCACTATGGAAGGCAGTATGGTGCTTTCACACCTATGTTTATTGCTGGTTTGTTCACAATAGCAAAGAGTTGGAAACAACCCAAGTGCAAATCAACAAATAAGAGGATAGAGAAGCTGTGGTATAGTCACACAATGGAATACTACACTGCATTGAAAAACAAGGAACTCATGAAATATTATATCAAATAGGTGACCCTGGAGGACATTATGCTGAGTGAATTATATCAGTCACCAAAGGACAAAAACTGCCTAATGCCACTGTTATAAAACAGGACTGACATCGGGTTTGGGGAAACTAAGAAAATAGGGGTTAAATAATATACACTGCATTGAAAGATGAGGGAGAGAACTGTTTAAAAGGAATATATGATTAGGATTCTTTGCATGACAAGAGTCCAGAATAGGAGCTGCATAGTAAAGTGGTATGGCGGGGGTGGGGGTGGGGAGTGTTACATAACAATGAAACAATTTTTTTTTCTTTGCAAAAAGAAAAGTGAACTGGAGAGGAGTGTTGGGCAGGGAGGAAAATGTGCAACAATGAATGAATGGAAATCCAAGTTCTCTATAATCTTTCATTAAAATTTCAAATAAAAAATTCTAAAAGGTTTTTAAACTAGAAATAATTACATAAAATTATTCATATGATTTTAAATGTACAGAAAACTGTAAGTACGAAGTTGAGAACTTTACAAAATAGTCTATGAGTTTCTTAAACTTCAGTTAGACAAATTTAAGAGAAGCTAGGAGTCTTTCAACTCTAGGTTTCTTCTATATGAATATATGTCTATGTGTGTATATGGCTTTTACAAATGATTACAAATTGTAAGTCAATTGCTTTTTCCTACCTAAAAAAAATGAATGAGAATCCCAGGACATTTTAAATCGTGCTCGCATGAAACCTATGCATAGACAAAGAAGCTGTCATTTGAACAGATTAAAGGAATACTGCATGACTCGAAATCAAGAAAGGTAAGGAATAAGGCTGTATCCTTTCTCCATACCTAAGCAATCTGCACCCATAAAGATTTACAGCTTTAGACACCCATGGGGCAGTTCCACTCTGTCTTTTAGGCTCACTATGATTTGTAATTGATTTAATATCTGTTTACTTTTTATTTGGAGAGTTTGTGAGATCTCTCTTAAGGGAAGGATTTTGAGGAAAAAAATATGAGCAAAGTATGAAAGGAACATTGTTACTTTAACAGTCTTAATGTGAAGATTAAAATGATATGATCCAAAGAGAAAAATTGACTGGTGGAGCTGATTTAGCCAAGGGTCAGTCAAGCCAACTCCTGTGACTGACCCTCCGGAACTAAAGCCCCTATGTTTTCAGGATGCTTTTGTGCTGTTAACTTCCTTGGTACCTTAGCATTGTGGAAAATCCCAAGATTTGAAATGGATGTATACTGTAACTATACCTATTCAGTATTAATGCTGAGGAAATGATCCAGGAAGCTAGACTATATAAAAAAGTATGTGGCCTGAGGATTGGAGGAAGACTCTTAGTAAGCAGCAATATGCAGATGGAAGCCTTGCTTGTAGAAAAGAGGATGATTTAATGCACTTATTGACGACTGGAAAGATTATAGCCTTCAGTAGAGATGACATCAACACTTAACAAAAGCAAAAATCCTTAATATTGAGCCAAAATGAAAAATTATGGGAAATGGAGGTAAGAGTAAAGTTGTCAATTAATTCCTTTTATTTGGATCTTCAATCAACAGCAGACATAGAAATTAAGAAACCAAGGGGAGCTCTGGTGGCCTAGTGGCAAGGAGCTGCAACTACAATCCCAGAGGTGCATGGTTTGAATCCACCAGGTGCTCTGCCGGGAAAGGAGGGACAATTTCCTCCTGTACCAGTCAGGTCTGACTTGACGGTACACTCACACAAAAATAATAATTAAAAAAAAGAAGTCAAGAAACCAAACGATATATTTCATTGGCATATCTGTTGCCAAGGATCTCTTTAAAATACTAAAGAGCAAGGATGTCAAGTTAAGAACTAAGGTACATTTGACTCAAGTCATGTTGTTGTGTTGTTGTTAGGTGTCATCAAGTCAAATATGACTCGTAGCCACACCTGAACTCTGTCCTATCTTCTGCCATCCTCATTATCTGTGACATACTTGAGACCATTGCTGTAGTTACTGTGTCAGTCTAGCTCCTTGGGGGGTCACCTTCTTCTTTGCTGACCTTCCATCTTTCAAGCATCAAGTCCCTTTCCAAGGAATAGCATGTCCTAGCTACATGTCCAAAGTATGGAGAGTTGAATCCATGTTTGCCCCCAAGGAATACCTTGGCTGTACTTTCTCCAAGACATCTACCAGTTCTTTTTGCAGTCCATGGGATATTTTCAGTACTTTTCTCCAGCACAACTCAAACTCCTTCAATTCGCATCAATTTTTCTTCTTGGAGGAAGAATGTCATAGTTGCCTCCAGGAATGATCACTCTTTGAAAAGCTTGATGACCTTCAGGCTGGCCTAGATCTGAGACCAAATCCAGACAATGGATCCTGATAAGGCTTTGGGCCTACTCACAAAAGCCCAAACCCAAGTTAATTAACAGCCCCAAATTCCGAGCAATATACCATCTTCCCTAGTCCCTCCAGAACCCCTATAAAAAGAAGCCACTCTAGACCATCCACATGCCATTTTGACCTTCTCTGATCGCGGTCACTTGGCGTCCCTCTCAGACCATGCAATAAAGGCCTGTTTGTTTCTTGGGACTAGTTTCTTTCTCTCTCTCACCCCCAACTCTTTTCTCTATCTAACACTTCTATCATCCTTATTCATTGCTCAGCTTTCAGATGATCATCTGAAACCCACTACCATCAAGTTGATTGGCAAGAAATCTTTTTTTTTTGGCAAGAAATCTTAATGGAAGCATATTACATCATCTTTTTCCCACAGAGCAGCTAAGCACTGACCTTTCAGTTCCCAGCCCACCATGGGATTGCATCACCTTTCATCTTCCCATTAATTCAATTTGAAAGCTCAATTAGATAATTAGCCCAAGTTCACATAGCTAATATGATTCTCAACCACCTGTGAAATACCAGTTCCCCATTTTATAGATATGGACACTGAGATATAGAAGATATAGAAAGGGATATATATAGATAAACACTTTGGAAATCATATCCATAATTGCAATGGAAAATTATAAATTATTCCTTCCAATCATACTAGTTTGAGGCTCAATAGTGTATTATATGCAAGTACTGTTAAAGTAGTGAATCATTAATATTTCTCAGTTAGACTAACCTTAGTAAATGAGAAATCCACTAAGTGCCAGACACTTGTTTTGGCTCAGTTAGTACCAGTATGCATTAAGATTGATTGAAGGTTTTAATAAACCCATAGTGTATTGATTTAGACATATAAACACATTAAAAACTATAGCAGAAGAATGGTAGTCTAGTGACAAGAAGCTGCACTGCAATCCCAGAGGTATGCGGTTTGAATCCACCAGATGCTCTGCTGGAGAAGGAGCGTCAATCTCCTTCTGTACGTGTCAGATCTGATCTGACAGCACACACACACAATAATAATAAATGAAATAATTTTTTTTAAAAAAAGAATGTAAAAAATCTGTAAAAAGTTAACTACAGAATGCTGTCCAACCCTGTCCAAGGCAGTTTCCATCAGGGAAGCAAACAGGAAAGATAGAGGAAGGCTATCAGAGGTGAGAACAACAGTGGCATCTTGCAAGAAAGTCATTAAAGAAAGCACAAAGAAACAAAATTTTAGAACTCCTCTTTAGTTGGTCGCTTCTTGACTCCTATTATCAATTGTTTGCAATTAACAGTTTAAACGGGCTTAACAGAAATTAGATACCATTCTCTATACTTCTTAATTTCCTTTAAATGCCCTTCATCTTCCATGTCTTCTAATCCAAAGTCATATTGAAATGACACCAACATGACAATTGGCCTGGAAACTTAATATGCTGCCCAGTAACAACAACCCTAAGTGGTCTGTTCTTATATACAACTAGATGTGCAAGATATACTAAGATTCTTTAACAAAAGTTATACAAAGTTTTCTTTATTTAGCAAAAAAAAAAAAAAAAAAGAACTGAGTCTATGGATAAAGCAGAGTCAAGCTCACAAAACAAACACCTCTAAGGATTAGGTGGAAACCTGGCGGGGCGGGGGAAGGCAGTGAATTTATGTTAATAAGAGAGGAATATTTCGGAAAAGGAGTCTTCCCAAACAAGCACAGTCAAGCAGTTTTAAACTAGGAAGAGATTTTCCGTTTAGGGAATCTTTGGCACTTTCTCCTTGTGAAATATTTACAGGGAGCTTACATGGAAATGAAAGTAGAAACATACAGAAATCCAAGCAAAACTCACCACCTCCTTCCTTTCAAGATGGTATTTCATATGCTTTCCATAAACACAGAATGTGGAAATCTGGGCTTGGCGTAAAACGCCCAAACTATGCCAGTTGGAGCTAGAAATGTAACTTCGTGACAGAAGGGATAGGGATGGGTCCTGAATTGATAATGCATTCCAGAATATTCATTTGCATAAAGAAGAAAGATGGAATAGTCTTTCCAAGGTTTCATTTTCAGATTAGTTTTTTGAAATGTCTCTTAATAACGGTCTCCAAACTCTTTGCATCAGAATCACCACTTACGTGCCAGTCCTCTAAGACTCTTAACGATTCTATGAACAACAGATCTGAATCTCGTCCTGTTACCAGGAAAGCGGTTGAAATATCTGTGGGACCCATAGCGGAGGTACTGGGGAGCTCTGGTGGGAGCTGCATTACTCCAAAGGTCACGCCTCTTAAGGAGTTAGAATCACCCCGTAGGTCTGAGGGAGAATGAAGGGCAATCTCCTCCCGTGCGACCTACAGCCTCTGAAACCCAAGGGTCAGCTATGAGTAGGTATGAGCAATGAGTGACTGTGAGTTATACTAAGTTTAAAGATTCAAAATCATTGTTACTGGGAGGCCAGAAATCAGCATTTGAAAGGTCAGATCGTTCTCATACCGGTTGAGTCATGGCCTCCCTGGACGATCTTGGAGGGATTTTCAGGTCTCCCTCATTTCGAATGAATCCTAAATTGAATTTGAGAAGGGGCTTCGGATTCCAAACACATTCTGGAAAGAGCAATAGCAGGTTGCAAAACGCCCTTGACTAAAAATGACTCTGGGCAGCCGCCGTCCACGGTCTCTCGCTTCAGTGTGACGTCACTAGTCTGCGTCACCCGACTTCCAAGATGGCGGCCCCCAGGACCTGCGGTCGATGGGTCTCCTGGGCCCGAGGGTGGTCGCAGGCGGCACTGACCCGCCGGCTTCCTGGACTTCGTAGCTCGTGGCCTGGGGGCCCGCTGGGTGCGCGGCTCTTCTCCCACGGGAAGCAGGCGACAGAAACGCACTTCGGGTTTGAAACAGTGTCGGAGGAGGAGAAGGGGAGCAAAGGTAAAAGAAGACTTTGTGCGCGATCTGACAGTTCGCCAACTAGTTTCTTATGTCCAGTTAAGGGTTAAACTAATTTCTTTTTTTAAAATCTTTTTACTAATTTTAATGAAAGTTTACAGAGACGTCCAGTCATTCATTTTTGCACTTTTCTCCCTGCCCACCACATTTATTTTTGCACTTTTCTCCCTGCCCACCCTCTTCCCCCTAATTTCTTATTATCTCTGATGCCATAACCTGTACAGGTCTCACTTCCAGAGGGTTCCCCCCCCCCCAAATTCACTCCCTCTTTTTAAGCAGATTAATTCATTAAATCTCACCAGTTGAGTGATTGTGCTGTGCCCGGCACGGTGCAGGACCTCTGTAGACGCTATTTCCATTTTTCCTTGGTGGGTAATATTATCCCCATGTTACACATAAGGAAATAGAGACGTAAACTTTGAGCAAAAACATGCCCAATTTAGCATAGCTAGTAAGTTGTGGAACCAGTATTTCAACCCAGATTGTTTTTACCCTAGCGTTCTTGTTCTTAGTCCTTTGATTACGGGGGGTGGGGAGGGGATTAAAAATACTCTCTTTTTTAAATAGACAACTGTGCCTCCGTTTTCACATCGCAGAGTAGGAATAATAGTAACCTCTTTGAGTTCTTGTGTGGATGAGGTTACTATTTAAGAACTCTGAAAAATTCCTGGCACATATCCTCCTTGTTCTGTTAGATGTTGTTGAGCAGGGGTTTTGTTTTGGTTAGTGGTGTGTTGGTTTTGGTTTGTTTTTTGGTTTTTTTTTTTGTTTTTTTGCTTAGCATTGTGCCACAAACATGAGAAATGACAAAAACTGTTTATAAACTCCAACTGCACTGTTTATAGTAAGGAAGATATTGTGGCCCTTTTTTGGATATGTTGAGTCTCTGAGCAGTTTAGTCACTTGTTATAAAAAGTAAGAGGAGCCCACGTGGAATTTCCTATTAACTTAAAGATTGTATTGTACTAACTGACCTACAGCTGACCCTCTGGCAAGTTTTCAGAGGCATTTAATCCCACGGGAGATTGCCCATCCTTCCCCCATGGAGCAGCTGGTGACCTCCAACCGTGCTTTTGGGATTACAGCACAGCTTCTTGCCACTAGGCCACCAGAGCTCCCTACTTCCCACTTGAACCATACTAAATATGCATAGTAGACCGTCAAGGAGGTGGATGGAAACAGCGGCACACTGTTGAAATGTAAACTCCTAAAATGAGCTCCTAAAAGGGAGCTCTGGTGGCCTAGTGGTAAGAAACTGCACTGCAATCCCAGAGGTATGTGGTTCAAATCCACCAGCTGCTCTGTGGGAGAAAGATGGGCAGTCTCCTTCCAGACAATGAACTGCTTCTGAAAACCCACTGGGGCATCAGCTGTAAATCAGTTCCAACTTCATGGTCCACAAAGACAACAATATACCATGTATATTAATATAATATGTACCCTTTAGTTGGAACTGACCCATAACTTATCTTTCTAGCAGCTTTTCAGAGGTAATAAATTGCATGTAAGGAGATTACTCATCTTTCTTCTCCACAGAGCAGCTGGTGAATTTGAACGACATACCTTTGGGTTGACAGCTCAATTCCTTACCACTAAGCCACCAGAGCTCCCTACTATACCATGACGAGTGTAATTTTACTTGTACCTTTGGGAGACTGGTATTATCGAACTAAATGGTGAAAATTGAAATCTGCATCTTGGAACCATGTAGAATGAGGTATGCCAGTACTCAACTGAGTACTGAGTTTGAGGCATAGTGTCTCTCAGATGTTCACGTGCTCCAGAGGCAGTTCATAAGAAAATCAACTTGGGCAATCCCAGAGGCACATGGTTCAAATCCACCAGATGCTGTGCCGGGAAAGGAGGGACAATCTCCTCCTGTACCAGTCAGATCCGATTTGACGGTACACACACACACACACACAATAAAATAATAATAATAAAAAAATTTAAAAAAAAATTCCACTACTGGGAATATACCCTGAAGAGACCATAGCTGACATCCAAGCAGATATATGCACACCCATGTTTATTGCAGCTTTGTTCACAATAGCAAGGAGTTGGAAACAACCTAAGTGCCCATCAACAAACGAATGGCTAGAGAAGCTGTGGTATATTCGCACAATGGAATACTATGCTGCATTAAAAAACAAGGAACTCATGCAATATTATTCAAAATGGTTGACTCTGGAGAACATTATGCTGAGTGAAATATCCCAGTCACAAAAGGACAAATATTACATGATGCCACTGTTGTAGAATGGGACTGTCCTTGGGGTTGGGGAGAGACTGAGTAAGATGGGCTCAATAATGTATACTGCACTGAAACAGAGGAGGGAGAGAACCGTTTAAAAGAGAGATGTAACTGGGTATTTCTGTCATCACAGGAGACTAGAGCGAGGGCTGCATGGTGGAGGGGACCTGGGGGAGGGTTTGTAAAACAATGAAAGAATCTTTTCTTTTACTTTTCCATAATTTTTGGACTCATGTACTTATAACTTGTTAGTCAAATTTGTGTCTTCTAGGTTGCAACACCCCCATGATACATCTTCAAGGATATGAACATGTACGGCCAAGCACAATCAATAAGAGTGCATCTAAATCCCAAAATCAATCTCCATAATAGTCTATGTGTTTCCTACTGCCAAAGGGGCCCTTTAGAGTAGTGAGAGAAGATCTTCACCCTGAAACCCACAGCGTCCCTTTTCAGCAGGAAGTAGCTAAGAGAATACGCCATCCCCTTTTCCTTATGACTCAGGGTGAAGTCTCTCTCAGGGAGGAGTGATAGGGAATGGCAAAGGACACACTGACAAAGAAGATTAATCAGAACTGGCTTTGACAAGCACTGTGGCATTTGGACAAGAACAAACTGGGAGGAGGGTAGAGAGAATAGTGCAACAAGGAATGAATGGAAACCCAAAATCTCTGTAAATGTTTATGAAAATTAATAAAATATAGAAAAAAAAAGAAAATCAACTTGGATTAGATTGAGAGCAGGCCTTCAGGGTTCAGTTAAAGATGCTCTCTCCCTGCAATTTGCTGACTCACAGCAGAGAATGGCCGTGTTTGGAATCTATGCAGCACATTACATCTGAGGACTTGAAGACATCAGTCCTACGTTTCCCAATTCACCTGTACTGCAGGGAGGTCTCAGGAGTCAAGAATTCAGCTACTAACCAAAAGGTCAGCGGTTTGAACCCACCTGCCACTTTGTGGAATAAAGTTGAACCTGCCTGCTTCTGTAAAGATTTCTAGCATTGGAAACTGTGGGAAGTTCTACTCTGTCCTACATGGTTGCTGTGAGTCAGCATTAACTCATTAATAGTGGTTTTCAGGGAGGTGGATGGCTAGCCTGTTAGTCTCATTTTATAGGCAGAGAATTTGAAGTGCAGAGAAGTTAAATGTAGCCCATACTTGAAAGGGAAACTGTTCTGGGCATCCTGGATAGCAGTTTATTTTTCCTGAAGTCATGCCAGATTCCACATTCTGTCATAATCCTTGAAAGAAGATCCATGTAGATCCTTTGTATTATGAATTGGCCAGAATTTGCATCTCGTGCTCAAAAGTGTCCACTAAGTGGTACCTGGGGTGGTTCTCTGTGATGGCGTGCAGCACTGAACTGAGGTCACCTGCTTCACTGGACATGTGTCTTTCTAATGGATTTTAGGGTTTGTTGGTTTTTTATTTTAGCCACCACTGTTGATAGTTGTAGAGCTAGTTCCAACTTGGAGTGACAGAATGAAATGAGACGCTGCTCAGACCTGCCCCATCTTTGTGATTTTGAATGTGTGTCTCCCTTGCTGCGGCTCTTGTGTCAGTCCAAGTGAGGGAGACCCTCAGTGAGATGGACTGACATGAGAGCAGCTGGCCTTTGCTGATGACGTGTCCAAAGGAAGCAAGATGAAGTTCTTGAGCCTTCTGGCTGTGTTACTTATGAGACTGATGTCTCCATTCTTCTGGAAGTTCACTGTGTATTTAATATTCTTTATCAACACCACAATTTAAATGTGTCCATTCTTAGGTCTTCTTTTTGCACTGATTAACTTTTGCATATTGGAACCAACCTATGCAGACCCTCCAGCAGTTTTCAGAGGCAGTAAATCACACAGGAGGAGATTCCCCATCTTTCTCCCTCAGAGCCGCTGGTGGATTCAAACCACATGCCTTCAGGTTGGCAGCACAGTTCCTTACCAGTAGGATACCAGAGCTCCCTTAGATGTATATGGAAAATACTGAGGTCAGACATTAACTGTTGGCATCAGAGTGACAGCTTTGTCTGTTCTTTAGAACTTTAAACAGGTTCTTTACAGATTTGTCCAGTGTAATAATATATCCTTTGATGTCCTTCTTTCTTATGGAAAAACTTTTTATTATGTTTTGAGTAAAAGTGAAATTGTTTGACTTCTTGACTGTTGTTCGTCCAAGAAAAATGAAATCCCTGACAGCTTCAGTTTTTCTCCATTTATCATGACTTTGTTCATTGGTCCATAATAACCACTCAGACTCGAAACTCATTACTGTGTAATCAGAACCAGCTCGGAGCTCACCCTCCTTGAGGTTTCCACAGCTGAGAATTGGCACGAGAGGACACTGTCCATCTTTCCCTTTTGGAGTGACAAGTGGATTTAAACCGCCAGAGCGGTGTGGCCTTTGGGTTAGCACCTTAATGCCCTACAGACTTGGCCACCTAGAATTCAATAATAACCACTAGAAAAATTAATTCCAACAGTTTTCCTCTCTTCTGTAGGAACCAGAGGATGTACTTGGCACCAAGTGTATGTGTAGCATTATATGATGTAGTGGTCCTGGGTAAACATAAGGCAGCAGAAAAGAATGGTTTCTTAGGTCAAGGATGTTTCTGCCTCTTTTTAAAGACACTAATGGTGATGTGTGAATTTGAGCTCAGAGTATTATGACTTAGTTTCACTTTGCAAAGATAAGCAAAGAAGAACCATCTTTTTCATTTAGGACTTGTCCACATGAGTCCTGTTAATACAGTTGCGTTTCTTCACTGTCAGTCTACCAGGTGTTTGAAAGTGTGGCCAAGAAGTATGACGTGATGAATGACATGATGAGTCTCGGGATCCACCGCATTTGGAAGGATTTGCTGCTCTGGAAGATGCACCCGTTCCCTGGGACCCAGCTATTGGACGTTGCTGGAGGCACAGGTGATAATACTGTTTAGTTATATACCATGGGCATGTAGTCAGAAGGGCCCAGTCCTTTCATGCTGGGAAAGGTGAAGGGTCAGAGAAAGAGAGCAAGACCCACAACAAGATGGTTTGACACAGACTGTAAACAGTGGGCTTGAGCATGTCCGAGATCTTGAGGGTGCCACAGAATAGGACAAGGTCCAGATCTTTTATTCCTAGGGTCATTATGAGTTTAGTTTACTCAACTGTACTTAACAATAGCCGTGTCCCTCAGTTCTGTGGAGCATCTTTTACAGAATCTGTTGGCATGAGCTAGAATGCCTCTTATTTGGCTAAAGATGTTCCTGGGAAATTGATACACTTAGAACCTGAGACAGGTGGGTTTGGGTTGCTTTCTTCCTGACCATATTACAATCCAAAGGAGACTTTCTCAGTTTTGTGCTTCTCACTTTTCTAAACTTTATAGGATTACAAAATAAAAATGGATTTCCCTCTCCCTCCCCCCCCTTTTTTTTTAAATTCTGGTAATGTTTTAGCATCTGAATAGCTGTTTTTCCTTTTGTTCAACCTTTAACTCATTTTCCCTTGTATCTGGGGGGAGGTCTTTATCTTTCTGCCTGGTCAGCTGTCCCATCAGTGAGTCCAAGTGAACAAAGCTTATATCCTCCATGTAACGATGCAAACAGTTGCACGTACTGAGTCCATTATTTGCAGATCAGCCCATGCTAATTGGAGCACACAGCCAAGAGCAGGAACCCTGGCCACCTTTTCATGGGTGGCTTCAGTATAGCTGCTATGAGGGAAACACCAAGACACATGAAATACTGTTTAAAATAAAAATTAACCACAGTGAAAAAAAAAATTAGTTATCATTGAGATGACTAGAAACTTCCATCTTCACACACCCGTCAGCCACCTTTGTTGCTCATTTTGAATTTCTGAAATGCTCCTTCACGGTTCAGATTTTCTTCTCTCACTGACCTGCCGCAGGTGATATTGCATTCCGCTTCCTTAATTACATTCGGGCCCGGCATCAGGGGAAGCAGAAGAGGCAGATAAGAGCCCAGCAGAATCTGTCCTGGGAAGAAATTGCCAAAAAGTACCAGCATGAAGAAGACTCACTGGGCGGTTCCCGCGTCGTCATCTGCGACATCAACAAGGAGATGCTCAAAGTGGGAAAGCAGAAAGCTCACGCTCAAGGATACAAAGCTGGTGAGTCCCGCAGAAAAGGAGACCCAGAGGAAGTGTTTATGTATGTAGAAAATGAGACAGGATGTGTAAGGGGTGTTCCATGTGCTTACTTTTCCAGCATTCAGATACTCGTGGGCAGGAATTGAAAGTTTGTGTGGTAGAGTACACTGTTTGTGCTGGCACGTATATTAGGAAAGGAACTCCGTGAGTTAGAGTACCAGCCCCATGTGGTGGGGGGGTAACCCAAGCCAAAAGATAGACCATGTCAGACAGTCACACCGCTGTTAAGTGGCAGATCCCTGGTTCGAACCGAACCTTCCACTCTCAGCTCTTGAAATCCAAGACAGGAGTTTTGTTTTCAGTTCCCAGCTGTTTTTGTGGTGACCCCACTGTATCTTTTCTGTCCTCCAGCCCTTCCACTCTCCCTGTCCCTTTGGGGTGGTTTGATTAATATGGAAACTGAGCAGGTGCACTGCTAGGATCCTGTAAAGAAAGGACTGATTGACAAACTCTTTGCACTGAGGAGGGCTCCCAGGGCCTGCACATTTTCTGTGTACAACTCCTTTTTTTGTATTTGGTTTTTATTTTATTATGTGTGTGACTCTTTAACAAGCAGTCTTTGCTCCCCTCCATCCAAAAAATATAAGTTGTCTTTGCGTTAATTCCAACCCATTGCCCTTCCCTGTGCTACAGTGTAGAACAGCACTTCATAGACCTTTCATGACTATGAAATCACTGAAGGAGATTGCCACGCCTCTGGGTGAATTCTGACTGCCAGTCTTTTGAGGGCTGCTCCTCCTTAACCATTCGTACCACCCCGGGGGTCTGTAATGAAGCTCTGGTAGCCTAGTGGTAAGGAGCTTCACTGCTAACCCAAAGACATTTGGTTCTAATCCACCAGCTGTTCCCTGGGAGAAAGATGGACAGTCTCCTCTTGTGCCATTTACTGCCTCTAAAAACTCATTAGAGAATCAGCTGTGAGTCAGTTCTGACTTGATGGCATGTTACAACACAGCACCTTACTAAATAGGCTGATACTCTATCAGATCTACATTTTGAGCGTAAAGGCTCTCCGTTCCTGAGTCCACTGGCTCTTAGCTTTCCTAGATGTTGCTCCAAAAAGCCTTGTTACTATTGTAATAATTATGCACATAACAAAACATCTGTCATATCAGTGTCCTTCTCATGTACAGTTCAGTGACATCTGTCTCTTGTATTTTCCCCCCCATCACTCATAACAGAAACCCATTGTGCCATGCACAGTGTCCCATTCCTCTCTCCCTTCCGCCTGCCCCCAGTAACCACTTATGAACTTTGATCTGTATTGCCTCTTCCGGACGTTTCATGTCAGTCGACTCATGTTGTTGTTATGTGCCATCAAGTCAACTGTGACTCATAGTGACCTATGAACAGTGGATCTGAACCTCGCCCTATCCTGTGCCAGGCTTACCAACTCTGACACACTCAAGCCCATTGTTATAGTCATTGTGTCAACCCATCTTGTTGGGGATCTACCTCTCTTAGGCTGACCCTCCACATTTCCAAGCATGATGTCCTCTAATGACTGGCCCCTCCCAACAACATGCCCCAAGTATGTGAGATCAAGTTTCGACAAACTTGCCTCCAAGGAGCAGCCTAGACGAACCACAACCGACTTGGCCCCCAAGATAAAGGACTCTTATTGTTAACCGTTAGCACTAATCAGAAGGCAGGCAATCTAGTGTTGGAGACGGAGGCACTGTGTTTTCCTTACTCTTCCTAAAGAAACACATTTCCCTTCTCACTGATGCTTAGCCATAAAGAATGGAGAGCAGAGGTGTTGAGACTACCGAAAACGTTCTTATTCTATAATCATCTTGTTAGCATGGCTTGCCCTTCAGGCTCTAACCCCCCAGACCAGTGTCCCTGCGTAGGAATGCAGCATACACTGTTCTTTCTCTTTACCTTTTGCCTCATCAGCCTGTAGTACTTGACTTTGCAAAGAAACCATCCTGGGAGTGGGAGGGGAAGCTGAAGCGACATAGGAAGATCCTAGAAATTATTTTTAAAATCTAAAAAAGTAATGTGTAAAGGCACTTTTATGTGTAGCATTGGTAAATGTGTGATATCTCCCCTGAAGGAAGCTGTTAGCTGCACCTTTGAAAAGCTCACGTGCTTGTTTGTTTTTTTACTGCTAAGTGTAGTGCAGTGAATTACTTAGTTCGACTCTCCTACCCATAGTGTTTGTGGATCCCATCAAATGACTGGGTTGTTGTTGGCTCCTGTCTAGTTGGACCAGACCCACCGCTGACCCTCCAGTGGGTTTTCAGAGGCAGTAAATTACACTGAAGGAAAGTGCCCATCCACCTTCTGCAGCAGTAGATTTGAACCATGTGCCTTTGGGATTGCAGCACAGCCTCTTACCACTAGGCCATGAGCACTCCCTAGGACTATGCACATGTGAGGTGCTTATGGTTCCCAGGGGGAGTTGACAGCTTACAAATAATATACATAAAGTCTACCTTTTGTCAGATGGGACCATGCAGTTAACATGCATAGAAGGCTAACAATGAGGAGTGGTCAGTTTTGCCACCTTGTTAGGCTTAAAATGAACCATCCTGCATGTGGAAAGGGGAATCCTGATACTATCAAGAAAAAAGAGCCAGGAGCAGAATGTGCCTTCTGGACAGGGCATCCGTCTGCTGAGAACCTCCTCAATCAGGAGAGGAGAGCTGTGACACCAGAGGTGGTATGGGACAGCAAGAGGCAGTGGCAGAGAAATGAGGGCACGAGAGGCGGCAAACCAGGAGCCAGAGAGGTGGACTTCCAAGCTCACAGAGCATAAAAGACTGAGCAATTATGGTTAGGAGGCTTGCTGACAGAATGGAGTGTGCTTCTAGTCACTTATCCCTAGAACTGGGTGTGAAGACTCATAGAACTGGAGCCTTCAGGCAGAAAGACGACTCACTGGCCAACTGGAAGTGCCTCCGGTTACTATCAGCAGAGCTAAAGAGCTTTGTAACATTGACTCAACCAGGGCAGAAGTCAAGGGGCCAGAAAGAGGCCTCCCTTCAGATATAGCTGGGAGGAGGCTGTCCTGTTGAAGAACTGGATCTCAGATCATTCCTGATCCTGAACTGTAACTTCTCCCTAATAAGCCCCATAATCATAAGTATTGTTTGAATTCTGTGAGGCCATTGAAAGGAACTGTCAAAGCAGAGAAGTAAGAGCACTCCATGAGGAATGATTGCCTTCAGAATCGGCAAAAATGGAGGGTAGGGGCATGCCTAATCTCTCTTTGAACTTGGACTATTGATGATGACTTTCTCTTTTCCCCTGTGAAGTTGTTTTTAAGTGTTATCAAGTAAAACTCATAGCAAACTTATGAACACGAGAGATGAAGCCTGTTCTGTCGTATGCCGTCCTCATCATCTCTGACACACTTGAGTCCATTGCTGTAGACAGTGTGTCAGTCCATCTTATTGAGGGTCTTCCTGTCTTTCACTGACCCTCTTTTCTGTACCTTTCCAAGGAATACCTTCTCCTAGCAACATGTTCAAAGTATGTGAGGTGAAGCTTCACCATCCTTGCCTCCAAGGACCACTCTGGCTGCTTTCTCCAAGACTTATCTGTTGTTTTGGCAGTTCATGGGATATTCAGTACTCTAATCCAACAGCAGAGCTTAAAGGCATCAATTTTTCTGTCATTCTTCATTGTCCAACTCTCAAGTGAAGTGATTGAAAAGACTGTGGCCTGAATCAGGTGTATTTTAGTCTTCAAACTGACATCATTGCTCCTCAGTAATTTAAAGAGGTTCCAAACAGTTGTCTTGCCCCGTAAGATATGTCTTCTGATCTCTTTACTGTTGGTACCAAGGGTATTGATTGCAGATCCAAGTAAGATGAAATTGTTGACAGTTTCAATCTTTTCTCTATTTATCATGATGTTGCCAATAGGTCCAGTGGTGAGGAATTTTCTCTTCTTGATGTTGAGATGTAATCCATATTGAAGGGTAGAATCTTTGATCCTCTGCATCAAGTGCTTCAAGTCTCTCTGTTTCAGAAAGCAAGGATGCATCATCTTCATAATGCAGGCTGTTGAGTCTTCCTCCACTCTTGATGCCATCTTCTTCTTCATAGAGTCCAGCTTCTCAAAAGATTTGCTTAGCATTCACATTGAACAGATGTGGAGAAAGGATACAGCCCTCTTCCCCATACCATTGTTAATTGAGTATATAAATGGTAAATTTGAGAGAAAGTTTATAAACCCAGAGTTTTGGGAAAGTATTAAAAAATGCAAAATCTGTGCTCACTTTGGCAGCACATATACTAAAATTGGAATAATACAGAGAAGAGTAGCATGGCCCCTATGCAAGGATGACACACAAATTCATGAAGTATTCCATATTTTTTTAAAAAAAGATGAAAATTCTTTACACACACACACACACACACGAAGTTAGGCTTATAGGTAACATAGTTACAGAGACTTTCTAGTCACATCCAGGTACATCCAAGGATAAATGTACTGAGTTAAAAGTTTTAAGACCATAGTCTGTGGATAACTCAATCAATCGACATGTTCATTAAGATAATGTTTTGCCTTCTAGTTTGGTAATTTCTGAGATCTTAAAAGCTGTGACTAGTTATCCAAGATAGAACTATTGGTCTTAGCTCATCTGGAACAAAAGTGAATGAGGAAAACTCTAATAGATTGAATTGTGTCCCCTCAAAATATATACACCTAGCTTCTGTTCCTTGTTATGTTACTTATGTGGGGATAGTGTAGAGTGTATCAAGTAATTCTCCTTGTTGTTGCTGTTATGTGCTGTCGAATCGCTTGCGACTCATAGCAACCCTATGTACACAGCCCTAAACTCTGCTCTGTCTTGTGCCAGTCGCACCGTCTCTGACACACCCATCCCGATTATGTAATTCTCCTTAGAGATTGAAAAAAAACATTAACGAGAGAGAGAAGTTTGGACTCTACCTATGAAACTGTGAAGAAATAAAATTGTTAAGGCCGTCCACTTGTCGGATTTCTGTTATAACAGCACTAGGTAGTTTACAAAACCAGTTATACTCAAAGAAACTCTAAAGGACTGACAGCGCACATAACACACAGCTTCATCTAGCCTCAGACCAGAAAAATTAGATGGTGCCCGGCTACTACTACCACCATTCTGACCAGAGACACAATAGAAGGATATAATGGAAGAAAAATATAGAACAAAAGTAAAACACCTAAAAAATTAGGGCCAGATTTACTGGACTGATAGTAGTTAGAAGAACCTCTGAGACTAGGCAAAAAGATAGCTTTTGACTGATGGCCACTCTGAGGGTCACCACCCAAATAATAAATTGGCTTAGAAAATAAGTGGTATCACCCATGAATAAAAAATGTGCTCTCTTAAAGAACCAACTATGTAAGGCCAAGCAGTCTACATTTACCCAGAAGCAAAGATGACAAGGAAAGGAGAGGCAGGGAAGCTAGATCAACAGAAACAGAATAGACATAATGAGAATGCTAGCACACTGTCAAAATTGTAGCCAATGTAACAGAAGAGTTTGTATAAATATTGTTAAATGGGAGCCTAATTTGCTGTGTAAACTTTCACCTAAAACACAATGAAATGTTGAGAAAGTGAACATCACCCATAATCCAAACCTTGAGATGCCCACCCTCAGTAATATATATCCTTCCTACTATTTCCTTAGCATTCTTTTTGAAAATTAGGAATGTTTTCTACATATAATTTAGTGTCCTGCTTTAATTCAGCATTTTATCATGAGGGTTTTCCCCATGTCTTTAAAAACTCCTTATTTTTCTTAAATTGTCTTTAAAAACTCCTTATTTTTATTAAATTCCCTCATATGGATGTTTCATAATTCATGGGACAAATTTACATACTCTTATCAGTTGATCTTTTATTTTTTCCCCCTAATTTTTTGCATGCAGCACACCATTGAGATATTTGTAAATTTTTGCATGTATCCATTACTTTTTTTAATATAACCGTGGATAAGTATTTAAAATGTCTAGGTAGCCATTATCATACCCATAAAATGGAGAAAATAAGACCAATCTCATAGCAAGAGTACACGATTGTTAAAAAACACAGGCTCAGGGAGCTCTGGTGGCCTAGTGGCAAGAAGCTGCACTGCAATCCCAGAAGTACATGGTTCGAATCCACCAGATGCTCTGCTGGAGAAGGAGGGACAGTCCACCTGTACCAGTCAGATCCAGTTTGGTCTCCACACACACACACACACACACACACACACACACACACACACACACACACACACACACACACACACACACTCACTTTAAAAAAATCCCCAAAAAAAGCAAAAACCCACAGGCTCAAAAACAAAAAAACACCCATGGGCTCTTAGATATAACTCCCTGTGTTCCATCCACCGGTGTGCCCTTGAGCAAGCTTCAGTTCTGATTTATAGCTCACTAGAAAACATGAGAACTGCCCCATAGAGATAATGCGAGGGTGGGATTAAATAATACACTATAAAGATGTATATAAAGTAATAACAGAGTCCTTGCCACATAATCTTAGCAATGATGATGATGGAAGTAATAGCATCCTAAAAATGAAATAGCTGAGTCAAAGAATGTTTATTTTTTAAGCTTTTATTTTATTATTTTAATGAAAGTTTACAGAGACTTTGGATTTCCATTCATTGTTTCACACTTTCCTCCCTGCTCTCCCCCACCCCGAGTTCGCTTTTCTCTTTGAAAAGTAAAATTCTTTCATTATTATCAGTCCCTCCAAGTCCACTCCAATATGCAGCTTTCTTTCTGGACTCTTGTCATGACAATACCACCTAATCATATATTCCTCAAAAAGAGAACTGTTTAGGAGGAATATATTGGTTGTTTCCAACTCTGTTGTGAACAAAGGAGCAATAAACATGCTTGGGTGGCAGTTCTGGTTTCTTTAGGGTATATTGCCAGTAGTGGAATTGCTGGGTCAAATGGAATTTCTATTTCCAACTTTTTGAAAAAGCTCCATACAGCCTTCCATAGTGGTTGTACCATTTTAATCTCCCACCAACAGTGAATAAGGGTTCCTGTTTCTTTGCAACCTTGCCAGCATTTGTTGCTTGCTGTTCTGTTAAATTTTGCTATTTTGACTGGGATGAGATGATATCTCATAGTTGTTTTAATTTGCATCTCTCTTAAAGCTAGGGATTTTGAACATTTTTTCATGTGTTTGCCATCTGGATGTATTCTTTGGTGGTCTGTTCATATCCTGTGCCCATTTTTCAATTGAGTTATTTACTTTTATCTTGTTGTGGTGCTCGAGTATTTTATAAATTCTTGACATAAGTCCCTCATCAGACATGTCATTACCAAATACTTTTTCCCAGCCTCTGGCTTCCCTTTTTACTCTGTTGGAAAAGTTTTTGAATGTGCATTAAGAATTTTAACCTGGAAGCTCTGGTGGACTAGTGGCAAGAAGCTGCAACTACAATCCCAGAGGCACACAGTTCAAATCCACCAGATGCTCTGCTGGGGAAGGAGGGACAGTCTCCTCCTGTACCAGTCAGATCTGATTTGACGGTACACTCACACAAAAATAATTTTTTAAAAAAAAAGGAATTTTAACCTTAGAAGGTCCCATTCACCTGTTTTACCCTCTCCTGGTTGTAGGTAAGGCTTTTATTTTTTAAGCAAACTACCAGTTTACTTTCCAGAAAGGTTCTTTTCACTTACCTTTTTCTATAGAAGCTTCTTACTATTATATATTTTGTCTAGTTCATTGCTGGGTAAATAATGCTAACGCAGAATCAGGATCTTTACAAGACATCGCAGAGCTGATGAGGCACCAAGATTAGCAGTCTAGACACTTTGATTCTGAGTCTCAAGGAACCAGCATTATAGGCTGTTTCTCCACTCCTCCATCTGGAAGTCTACTTCTGCAAGATTACAGCCACTGAAAACCGGAGGCCAGTTTTACTCTTGAGTCACCATGAGTTGGAATTGGCTCGAAAGCAATGAGTAGGGTTTGATGTGTTGGTTGGTTTGTGGGGTTTTTAT